ACGAATAGCAGTCTATTATATTAAAATGATATTACAATAAGGATAGTAGGGCCTCCATTGTTCGAATGCCAGTTTCTCTACTTTCCAATCACGAATCAAACAAGATTTCTCGTATTTCTTATAGGTGATGAGATGTTCTCAGACACCTATAAAATAAAACTGGTCGATGATGTCCTGTACGAAGTATACGGCAAGGTACAACAATTTCGATTTACTTCAAGTCCAATCGTTTATTAATTTGTTTTATTAATGTACGTCTTTGATTAGGTGGTCACTCGCAAGACGGGAGACATAGACATCGCTGGGTTCAATCCATCCGCCGAAGAAGCCGATGAAGGAACCGACGAAGCAGTGGAGTCCGGCGTCGATGTAGTTTTAAATCACCGGCTTCAAGAAACTTTTGCATTTACGGACAAAAAATCGTATACCTTGTACTTGAAGGATTACATGAAGAAGTAACTATCAAAATTTCTTTGACTAGTAAATCAAATGATCGTTTTTACTGATGATGGAATTTATTCAGATTGGTAGCGAAGTTGGAGGAGCAGGCACCTGATCAAGTGGATGTTTTTAAAACAAACACGAACAAAGTTATGAAAGATATATTGAGTCGCTTTAAGGACTTGCAGTTCTTCACTGGCGAATCTATGGATATCGACGGTATCGTCGCTCTGATGGAATACCGCGAGATCGACGGTGACTCCGTGCCTGTACTAATGCTATTCAAACATGGTCTTGAGGAACAAAAGTTCTAAACGATTTTAGGTATCCAACAAATTGTGAAAAAAATATGGTAAATACACATTTTTAATGATACATTTAGATACACATGTTTATTCATGCCTCGTACTTCGATTGAATCGTACCTGGCGTTGCACAAGCATGTGAGATCAAATTTTGGTGATCAGATTCCCGCTGCGAATCGGCTTCTCGTCACAGCGGCTATTTTAGCCAAACACTTGCCTGAATTATAATTTTATAATTGAATTAATCTTTATTTATTCTTGTAGATAAACTTAAAAATCAAGACTGCACACACGCTGAAAGGCTTGTGAAATTTAGTTAAAGGACGACACGATTTTACTTCCAATCTCATTTTACTAACGCAGTTAACTTATTCGTTTAAATACCGATTGATATATGACAGTGACAAGAGAACAAATAATAATGTACATATAGCATGGCCGAAGGGAGGAGGGCGATGAACGTTCGTCCCTCCAATCACATAGTAATCTGTATCGGATCCCGCTAAGGCGTTTGTAATATTATTTTCTACTTACTTTTTAATTCGATCCTTATTGGAGCATACACGATTCGGAAATGGAAGATGGGGAAAGAAGTTTGCAGCCACGGAAATACGAGGATATCTCTTAATTATTGTTAACATCAGAAGAAGAGTGTCAGTGGATAAATAAATAACTGCGTCTGAAACATACTCTGTATAATGTCCATTACGAATAAAAATGGTGTTTTCGTAATTACTGTCCCCAGTCTGTTCCACTTATTATGTTGGAAACGCGTTTTATTCAATGCTGATTTCTTCAATTTTTATAACATGATTCATCGTTGCAATTTTTAATATACAGGGTGGGCCGAGAATTTGCATGAGGTCACGATCCTCTGTATTCGGTATAGTTTGTTAAGGATAGAGATGGTGGTGCACCTAATGAATTGAACGACCGTGGTTTCGCTTCATAAAAATATTATATTTAGACAAGTCAGAATAGACGATTTATCTCTTGGCGCAAAGACAGTACATCATACTCCTCTCTCCTCAAGGACTGCTATTAGCCATACTGTTTCACAAGTACATCAATAATATTACTTGCCCGCGCTCGCCTCTCGTCCACGTAACAATTTCGTTCTCACACTGCTACCATTCTCTCGTAACACACTCTCTCTCTCTCTCCCCCTATTCTTACATAATTTACATGTTCGTCGCCACCGTTACGAATATCATTTTACGAATATATTACTCTTATATATTCATTATAAAACAATTACCGATCCAATGTAGAACTCTTTACGATCCGACAATACGTTTTTACGTGCCATTACCTGGAAAAGTGTTATGTTTACAAAAGCGTATTTTAACAATATAGTAATCCGCGTGCGCCTCGTCGGCCAAAAATTTGGTATCACTCGTATCGATGCTAAAATTACATAGGATTTGTCTGTTTCACATTGGATAGGATTCTATTTACGTAAATCGACTTTTTAATTACAATGATTCCAAACTTTCGACCGGTGACACACGCAGTCACGTATGTACACGTATACGTACATCTATGTTTGAGAGAAACGAAAGTTCAATTGGATTATCGGTTGATTAAGTCGAGGAAACGACGGTTACAGCTTAAAGATAATAAATTGAACTCCAAGTATATTATTTATACGTACATACAACATACAGATTTCCGTTTAATCTACCCACGTGCACAGACATTGCTTTCATTTGTCGAGCACAACCATAGTATGATTAATCGCAGAAGCGGTAAGATGAATTATTTATTCGTCCTCGAATGACGGCGTGAAAAACAATTTAAAACGTTGCCCGATTATCGAACGGTGAAATAATAAAAATTACACACCTTTAAGCTGTTTCAACGATTGATTTCTGTCACGTTAGAGAGCTATCGCTATCCTCTCCGACTTCTTTTCATTCTTAAAATTACAAGTCTTGCGCACAGAATAAACATTTGTCGAATAAAACGGAACGACAATTTTCTGTTAAGTTGTTTTTTTTCATTTTTTCTTTTCCGAAGGAAGAAAGACGAAACGTGGAACGTTGGGCGGTTCCAGAAAATTAATTAATCGTAATGGCAGTCGTGTAAGTTAATTTATTATCGGTAGTAGTCGCTGAACGTGTTTATGCCATTTATACACTCCGAAAGATACATATTTCTCTCTCTCGCTCTTTCTCACACACTCTCTCTCTCTCTCTCTCGTTTTTAAATTTACTTCGTCGGAGGTACAGTACTTTAGTAGGATATCTGCTACTGTTTTTAAGTGGGATGCGCCTTACGCGGTTCGGTAAGGTGAAACGATTATTTCCGTTATTACTATTAATATTAAACTTATTTGTACTGATCTATGCAGAACGGGTGCGTGGAATCTTTGCAGTACCGTGAAACGATGATAGCCGCTGTAAAAAATTCCTTCGACAATTATAAAAGTATAAAAAAACTAAAACAGCTAAACAATCGGACGACCGGACTACGGGGGCGTCTACGGGAACTAAAACGCACGAGGTATTGCGGATTTAAAATATGTTTACGATTACCTAAAGCCTGGAAGCTTATTTTAATTACGTTTATAAAAGTATCAACTTCCTCCGTAGTTCGATGGATTTCTCTAAGTGCCAAATGATTTATTTCACTATAATTCTCATCTGGGATATTAGAAACCAAAAGTTCATGCGTTTTTTCTTAT